TTATAACCTTGTAACGATTTCCTGTCCTCTGTTGGAAAAATCTCCGTCTGATGTTCGAGTTGTTCTCTTTGTTCTTGCTTGTACACTGATAATCTAGTAGAAAAGATATCCTGGCAGAGCACGTCACTTATAACTCGCAACGTTATGAATTGTTGTTCATCTTATTCAAACCAAGTTTCCTACACTTGTGGAAAGCGGAATTTTTCTATGTCGAGTTGAATCTCTTAAACTAGAGCGAACTCAAAGGTGTGGCGCTTCTCAGAAGAGCCAATCGCTGACCACGTCTAATTCCATTCTTTCCCGGAAATAGAGTGATTTTTTGAAGAACCCACCTTGTACAACATTTTGAAGTGTCCATTTTAGAGACAATTTTTCGACGACACCATGGACCGAGAACGATATCGTTATATACACACATGCCGGCAATCAGTAGTGCGAAACCGATCAGCTGAAATGAAACCACTTAATGGCCCGCAATTGAGTCTCGCTCCGCATCGTAGCTTTTGTCGGGTTCGCATACCTGTAATGGGATGAATTTCTGCCCGAAAAGTGGTATGCCAGCCGCCCAGATGACGATGATTCAAGCACTGATGGGCACTATCGATTAGAGGAAGGGGTCTTGCAAAGGACCCCTTCAGGGGAGGGGGAGTAGTTAAATTTTTTAATGATGATTCACGCAGTTTGCAAATAGTAATCTGTACTTACTTCTAGTATTAGGTTGGAAAGAAAGTTCTGCGACACTCTTTCTAAAATTTTCTTTTTTTTCTGAAAAATTCATAGGTAACATTTATGACTAACAAATGGTAGAGCATTCTCGAGGCTTCAATCCACGAGGTGGATATAAGTGCTGCAGTCAGTAGTTATCCAAGAAAATTCAAAAAAAACCTCGACCACTAGTAAATCCATACTCCGAGTCACTGTCTAGTACAAATGTCTCCAACTATGGATTCGTGTCAACGACCGACACTATCTGCAATAGCTTCAATAGGCATGCCGTTCAGCTACAGCGTGTTTCACCTTTACCAGCGCTTTCGATCTTTTGATATTTTTATAAGAAGCCAGCAGCGTCCCACACACTCCATTACAGGTAGGGCTCTTACGGAAGCTCCACTACAAATTCTTCGTTATGGGCACCATTGTGTAGGTAGAGGTCTAGGCTGCGGAACTCCAGAAGCTGGCCGAGGCAGCTCGTCAGGAGCCCTCGTACCGCGACAATATTCATTTTACCATGATTCTGGAGCTGCGGCAAGATTTCTTACCTCTCTTAGCGTATTCCCCTGGTCGAGCTATAAATGACTGCCACCTATCCTGGACCTTAAATCATCATCTTGATGACGAAATAATTAGACGATCAACTCCAACTCGAAAGTGAGGTCGCCTCCTTTCTCGACCCGCACTCCGCTGGGTTTTGGCAAAGGAGCATTAACACGTTGACGACCGCGCTATTTTTCGCTGTCTGGCGTGTGGGACCGCGCGCATTATTTTGACCGCGCGAGTGTGACATGGCATCATGTCAAACGGTCCCACGAGAACTCCTTTTTCTCAGGAAGTGTGTATTTGTTATCTTTCTTGTGTGGTAGGTCTCCGATTATGCGATTTTGGCCATTTTAGCGATTCCTGTGATTTGATCATTATTCAAACATTTTTAGAAAAACTCGATAGCCCATCAACCGAAGCTTCTTTCCAGGGACCACGCCTTTTGTAACAATGCCTAAGTATGGCGCATACATCACGTAAATAAGTTACCTAAAATGTTTGAAAACCAGCTTAAAAAAGACTGTGACATGACATCATGTCACACGGTCCCACGTGGCCGAAAGAGTGTGGTATGACATCATACCACACGGTCGTCAACGTGTTAAGCAACCCCGCTAACGCCATGGCCACGTCGTTCCGCTTGGTGCCTTCTCCATTGCAACAGAGTTAACACTTTTACTGATTCCCCTGGAGCTAGCTTCTTCCAATCACCCCTCCTGCATCCATAGGACT